TTTACGTATCCGACTACACAACCTCCCTTCACGTTTTAGGTACCGCGAGTTGCTGAAAAATTTTGACTCGCTCATTACTAAAGGCCTCATCATTACAAATCACTGTTCTTATGGGTGATCCCGTCCACGTGCTGCATTGCTTTCTCCTATTAGGAATCGTCCTTTTAAACTAAAAGCGGAAGCAAACTTCTCGCTGTACTGGATTGGTCGAGTATTTATTCGCAGTGTGTTCACATCTCGTCAGCCGTGTGAATTAAGCGTGACATTCACAACTGATCTTACCTCAGAACAATTTCACGTGTTTCCACAGCTACTGTGTTCCCCTACCGATCACAAATACGTCCTCTCTTTTTTCCCCACGATGGTCGTCCACATGCGCACGAATATTGCTGTCGATTTTCATTAGGCTAGAGTGTTGCCTGTCAGCGAGCACAGTCCGCTAATTGAATTTGGTCAATTCGAAGTCCTTGTTCTTTCTATCTCCGTGGCTGTTAGACACAATCCTTCTCTCGTTGTTGTCTTACCCTCTCACCACACAACGCTCCGTATTTTCAGGTGTGTAAATATGTCTTGCTAAATTTTAACATGGAATCGAAGTTCGCCGGCGAATGCTACAAGGCCAATCAAACTGTATTTATCAGGAAATATATAAATAAATAAACATTCTACTCAACCTGTCAATCACTATTCAGAGCTTGTCAGTGAAACCGAAACCAGTAAAACAGCATCCCGCAAGCGACCGTGGGAATCGAAATTCATGATGCATGTCAACAGCTTATCTTTCACTGTCTTGTTATTGTGCTTATGGGTTGAACCACGTGATGTCAGCGTTGCACATTTACCCAGTGTTTAGCTCAGATGTATCGTCCAGCTCTTTGTCAAAGGGCCATTTATTGCCGTTCTGATAAAATTCTCATGTATTCCCAGTTTTCTTGAAATAATAAATGAAACATGGTATTTTCATGCTTGAAACTCTAATTTCCTTATAGATGTCACTGGAACTGCTTGCACCATTGTGATTCCCTTTAAACCTGAGTAAAGTGCTATCCCGGAAGGGAAACTAGGCCGTCTCAGGACGTCTCTCCGTCAACATACATCTTCTTAGCCCTCCTGTGAATCAATGTGCCGAGCCCCGCTGATTGTTTTCGAATTGATCTATACATAGTGAAAACACTTCTCACACAAAAATATTCAGATCGGACATTTATTTACTTTTGCTTCTATGTGACTACCACTTGTTGATGATCGAGTCGGTACCATGGAAATCGCCATATACCCCCTTCCGGTTCGCCTATTAAATGCCAGATCGGTGCAGACTGTCATCCAGTTTTGTTTCCAATAACCAGCCATAACCACCCATGATGCCAGTACTCTTTCGGATTGAGTGAGGACGAAAATGTAAAGGTTTTTAGTGTTCGCTTTAGGGTATGACATACTTCGCGGCAGCCCACACCGACGAAGAGGTTTTTCTTTGGAAACCCTAACCGGAGCCTTCGACTCACAAGGCAGTGGGGCGTAGATCCAACGCGGGAGCGTGAGCGAACCGCCCGTGTGGGAACCTCTAGAGACCTGTCACGCGAGGCCTTTGAATTTCGGTTAAGTTTGTTGTTCGCTGGTGCGTTGATTGTCGGTCCACTTTTCGTGATCGGCCCTAAGTCTCATGCACCCAGTGAGACAAGCGGAACGTGGACGAGACAGCACTTCATTGATTGGTAGCTGTCCAGCTTAGGTGGGCGGTAACTGTCCAGTGAATTGCGAAGACTTCTCCCGTCGTCAGGAGGAAGCCCCAGTTTGCCCTGCTCCGACGCCCATCTAGCGGGGGTTTTCTGGCCGGTACACTGCCCCCTCACCGTGTTTATTTACTGGAGTAACTTCTCCAGGGGCGGATGTGGATAAATGAAGGAAGCCAGGAGTTGCCCAAGCAGCTGGCTTGTGAGACTGAGTTTTGTCTGGCCTCTACCCATTGACCTTTCAGGCATGATTGGATCTGCGGCTGTGAAGAACCATCCTGTGTAGCTCGCAGGGTCATGGAGGCATGCAACCCATCACACCGCGTCAGGGTGCATTGATGGGTTAAACCATAGGGACTGATTGCCAAATCCCTCTGATCTGGTGTTCTCATCACGTAGAGACGAAGTATTACCACCGTAATGAGTATTCATTGTACAGCAACACAAAAGATGTTAATCTGGGTCGGAAGGCTGATCTCACTGCGGATTCAGAGCATAGAATATAACTGGGGTAACATGCAGAGCCGATCCTTGTCGTTATTCTATCCTTTGGGAGTATGAACGAACCAGGGAATTGTAAGTACGGTACATCCTCGATTTGTTGGTCGTCGGTGAACAACCCTTGATCAACTGGCCCTGAAAAGATCAAGCTAGCATTTCAGCTCATGCCTGATTTACACGATGAATGAATCATATATTAAAATGAAATCCTCAACTACAATCTGACTTTGTTGGCACAAATGATTGACGCATAACGACTGAATCAGTTTAAAATCGGCTAAAGCACGATGAGAGACGCGTCAAGGACGATAATATGGTCCACAAACTCCAGATCCGAGGTGTAAATTACTCTGCTCCGTTGGCACCAACGCAGTAAGTCATCTGTTGTAATGTCGGATTAGACGATACGACTGAACTAACACGAGCCATAACCAACGATACGTGCCTCAGCAGCGACCACGAACAGAACAGTACGACCAAGCGGAATAGTGACGGTACACGGTACGCCCGACTGCGCTACCCAATACAAGTCGTATTAGAACCGGAAGAAAGCGTCCCACCAAAGCAGTACGATCCCCGAAACCCGACCAGAGAGAACATAGAAGACAGTCATGCAGGCGAGGTTGTATATTTCGCTCGACCGTAAAAGGAGATAGTGGACAACTCATCTGTTTTATACAGTTTGGGGGCCGGCCACCAGTGACCTTGGAAAGTAGCGAGTCATGGGAAAATGGACCAATGAGCATCAAGCATGGCCGGTGGTGCGCTTTGAGTCCTTTTTGGCGGAAAAATCTGGAAATTCAAATTTTATAAAAATAAATAGAAAAATACAGGGGAATAGTCATTTTTATAGGGGAAAATGGTCTCTTCCCTATCATCATCATCATCACATGATACATTTAGGACGATGATTGCACCCTGGTGTGGTCTATGTTACCGGCGTACTTTGGACCGTATGATCCGAAGTTCGAGCCCCGCCACCATCACTCAACTTTGCTGTTGTCTGGTTCAATATGACGCGTGACCCAGCGGGGCCCTATGTGGTGCGCTACTGCAAGTCACGGGGCCTATGTTACCGGCTTCCATCCCACACAGTTGTGTGTAATAAAATAATAATAATAATGAATAAATTGGTTGCTATAGATGAAAGTGGACAGCCGTGTCACACGTCAGGGTAAACCGTTAGTTCGAAAGAATCCTAACCATGCACTCATACTCTTACTGTTGTAAGTGATTCGTATATCCACAGGAGCCTTACGAGTTTGGTGGGCATTCCGTCAGCTTGTAGTAGTTTCCATAGCGAGTCATGAAACATCGAGTCACTTCACCGCGGAACGCTCGGCAGTCTTCCACACATCAAGCCCAGCTTGATTGTATAAACATGTGGTCAGTTCAATGTAATGTGCGACCGACATTTAAGTGCCATGTGCCTCGATGATTTCGGGTGTGTTGAAAGCGAATGCAGCGAACGACCAATCTGCCGACATCCGTTAAATTCACCAGTCGAAACCCACTCTCTCAATGTAGGTCAGTTTAACATTCTCTTGGGACAAAAAATGGATTCATTCGAGGGGCCAGTCTCCTGCAACACGAAGTATGGTACAGCTTTTTACACGATGGATTAAATCTTGTGAGCTGCCGGGGAATTCTGTTTTTGTCGCGTTATGGTCCGCGTAGATGGTGACCACTGCCACCTTCTGAGAGCAGCGTCTAAATCGAACTACTAAAATGAAGCGGGATATCAGTTTCCAAGAAATCAAAGTGCTACATGTCTTTTCACTTAGGGCAAATGCTACATTCTAGTGTCTGGATTTATTCGCAGATTCATTATGATGCACCAGAAACTGTAGTTCGGGAAGCGGACTTCTGAGAGGTGCACGGCATTCATATTATAGTCGTGCAGTGTCCGCATCGCCTGGTAAGATTTGTCCATTCCGACAGGTCATGCTAATCGGTATTCCACAGTAGAGAGTTCCAGCTCGCTAAATTATCATTTCAACTTTTCGAGGATACCTGCTAAATTATTTGCCATGTTAAGGACTATAATTCTCGGGGAACAGTATTTCAATCAATGTCCCCGGTACGATTCGGTCTTTTTTAATCGAGGTTACACCTTTGACCTTCGCTCAGCCAAGTACGACCCAAATGGCAACAAGGGCACTAGCCTAAATAATGACCAATCAAATTCGCCACTTCAAAGCACTGTCATTTGTCTTGTGTTTCATTGGGAGAACATTAACCAAGGGAAAACCCACAGCATGAGCTCCCACCTCTTTATATATGTTGGTATCTACCTTCTGACTTCCCTTCTATCCCTCTTACTCACAAGCTATGTTTTAAGTTATAAAGCCATTGAACCGAGTAGTATTAGATTTTAGCTGTGCAACATTTTGATGCGAACATTGTCAGCATGGTTATAGTTGTGGATTTTTGGTATTTTGTATATATATATATATATATATATATATATATGCTTGCAGGCGTGGTGCCAACGCCACGACAGCGATATCAATAACAGGGGATGCGTGGATTGGGAAACAGAACGAACTGAAAAGAAGGTTAAACAGTTACAATGGTTAATAAAAATGACAAGTTTTTTTGTGTGTTTCACCGTACACAAAGCTGTCCAAGTTCACGTACTGTACACATATCAGCTAATTTGCAATCGTATCATTGTCCCCAGTACTTCAGAACACATGATTTGGGACCTTTCGCTTTCAAAGTGGTTGCAATTATATTTCCTTTTGATTTTCATTTTTTTCTGACCAGAGTTCGAGATGTACGTCCCCTGGTAGAGAATACGTTGGCTAGTGATGATGAGATACAATTGCGTAATCAGTGGCCCGATGGCTATCCCGGTCCACCCACACTAGAGGAAGTGCGTATTCTGAACGGTGCCGCGATTCTGGCCGTATTCAAAGATGGCGGCTATCGGTAAGTCACGCAGAACCCGAGGATCCAGCGTTGCACAGGGTCCTGTGAACTAGCACATGAATACAGCTATTGTGAATGTCAACCAGCTGATTTTTGAATGTTCGATATGAACATTTTACTACACTGTTTCAACTCCTTCCTCCTTTAGCGCGGGTGATTGCATTTCACAAGGCGACGTGCAAAAGCATCTGATGAATTATGTGCTCAAACGGGGACTGCGACGAACAAACGACCCAAAGTAAGCAAGCGAAAAAAGGGTTTCTTTTTACGACCTCTTTCTTTGCAGAAATAGATATAGCGGTGCGTCATCATTTCTCTGAAATGATTATATTCGCGATCTCAGTTCCACTTATTACAGGTGCATTCACTATTTAAAAATTACAGATAATCACCGTAGATTGTTGTGTGGCCTGAACCCATCATTGCAACGAAAGCAGATACGCATACAGCCTCCTTCCGACCCATGCATCTAGACTGATTGCAACACCTAGGTTATTCTGCACGGCTTCTTTGGTATACGTAATCTCCTGCCAAACGGTTTTGATCCTAGCTTCCGACCAAGCTCAGTGCGTGCACAGAGTGCCACCTGTTTGAAGATTTCTTTCCCACGATCAACTTTTGATGACTTTCTCACTTTCGAGAGATTCACCGACATAGTATTTATTCGATATGTTTGCCCGCTAAACGCGTTGAGTTGCAATCCAATAAATACAATCCTATGGGCTTTGTCGCAAACGTCTACCTGATGCTACACTCACTCAGTTCAGCCTCTGCTTATACGATCGATCGGGCAACCCGAGTCTGATGATGAGCCAGTGTGATTGAGGAGGAGTTTCGACTTAGCACCACATGACCTTGCAGGTTATTTCGTTGGTCAATCTGTAGTTGCGTTCATGCGCTTGTGCTGAAATGCATTGGCACTTCCGAAGCCTCAGTTTGGTCGAGGTGGGTGTATTGGTTTGTGGCTGGTCACTTGTCCCTTGCACCTCGCGAAATGCTCACATACGACCCAGTGTTTGAAATAGATTCTACTGTCTGCCCATGGCGGAGTTGTTTTCTCATTAAAATGAGAGGACGGAAAGCCAACACAATGGGTTATTGCCTGTCTTGTAAACCATTGGCAGTTCACCTATGGGAGTTGGCTAAACCCTGATTCCACGCACCTACCTTCGTGTTTGTGGTGGTGATCATCGGCTTGGTTGCTCATCTAGTTGTATTGCGCACCCTGGACGTTTGACTCCGTCCAAAGAGCGTATGATCCAATGAGCTGGACACCGACCCCCAATGGATTTCGGTTTTCCCACACTACCCCACAGCCTTGCGGGGCAAACGTTTCCCAACCGGAGGCTCCGGCAGTTAATTGCTCAAGAAAATTCAAATCAAGTTAANGCACTTTCGACAAAATAATTTGAAGAAAACACCGAGCATTTAAAAACATAAACATTTCCGAAATGAAAAATAAATGAATGTGGTAAAAAGCTAGTTTAACTTGTGATTTCCGGTTTATTAGCAAAATAAGGGATGATGCTGTTTTGGTATGTGGTGGTACTCGCACAAAGAACCTAACTTTGGAATGCGTAATCGGCTGAGACACCGATTTATTGAGATGCATATGCAGACAATTTTCTTGATTTCACAATAAATGGCTGATAAATCTATCACAGGAATCAGAATGCTTCCTCACAATGAAATCAACCAAAACGGTCTTTGAAATGACATTGCAACGGGAAGGAGGTTTGAGAGATCTGACGACGACACCTGAACAAACATGATTTGGCATTTTGGTTCGGCTCTGGCATGAGCTGGTTGGCATAGTGGTAATGCATACGCCTTCCATGCGATTGGTCCGGAGTTCAGATCCCGAACGGGACGGTGGATATGCACTACTGATGAGCTCTAATAAGAGTGAAACTCGATTCTAGTGCTTCTGAGTGTATAGTTGACTGGAAGAGCTGAGGAATGTGCGTGAAGATGAAGTCTGAAGGATGGTCAGTTTTAATCAATCAATCAATCAAGAAAACAAAGTCTTTCTTTTTTAGTCGGAAAAATATGGGAGAACAGGACAACGAGTGTGAAGAAATGCAGGCTATCACAAATTTGAAAATTACATTTAGGTGAACGCCGGGCTTTCTAACTCTGAAAGCGTAAAAGGATAGCCTACGAGCCCTAACGTACATGTTTTCACCATGCATAGACTAAGAACGGTAATGTGACAAAGTACCGCGTGTACGCCGTGGTTGCATAGATTAAATCTTCATCCTCCGTCGACTACAAGAACATCGCCACCCATAAGGACGACAATTTCGGAGATTTTCGGACATCAAAGCGGCCTTTGACTCCATCGATGGCCCCGCAATGTGAAACTGTTCTGGGAGATACGGAGTACTGGGGAAGTATAT